GCAGAATGTGAGTCAACTGACCATTGCATTTTTCTATAGCCAACAAAAATTTCTCCTTTAAGATTTTGATGAGAATAGCATCCATGTTAATTTCTGGGCTTGTGTGGACTCTATATGCTTTAATAGGATACATTATGTCTGGTAGGCATTTGCGCACACGGTTAAAGTTAGACATTACCAAGTGTTTTTTAAAGTAAAAGTTGAACTTGCTGATGAACTTTTCGGTCATTTTGATTTAATTCACCAGTTTTCTATCAAATGGATTGTTTCTTGCACAGCAAAGTGGTCGAAACTTTCAATAGTTCTATGGAGCTGAGAACTCCATTTCTTGCTTGTGCACCTTGCTGTCACGTGATGACTGCATCTCTTATGAAATAATTTTTGGGACCTGTGTGCTTGGTGATCTTCAATACTTCATTCTTGGAAGTTGTAATGCAACTCATTTTCTGTCACTACATTTGTTAAGACTGTCCTTGAAACTAATCTCTTGGAATGTCAGTAGTGAAAGGCCCTCTACTAGTTGTAATTTGGGAATTTTGTGGTAGGTCTTGGTTTGTATTTATTGCGCGTGGCTTGTCATTTTGAAAAATTGAGCTTCTGAGTTTTGTCCTAAGCATGTTTCTCTAAGCCTTGTGTACATGATTTGTTACTATTTTCTTAGATTCATGTAAAGAAGTTGCTTATACAGTTATACTGAAGAGTAACTTTTACCTTGCTGTCAAAATAAGTAAATTATTTTAACTTTGACTGTTAAAAATATTTTAAAGTTTACTTATTTATTTCTAATATTATAACTTTTGCTATAGTTGACCACTTCGCACGCCATTAATGAGTGAAAAACTAAACCATAAGCATTTCGAAATGGTATTAAGAATGCAATATTTTGACTTCATTTGATATCCCGTAACGAGTGCATCAAAATAGATTGTAAATGGATTAAAAAAAAATAGGGACAAAATTTTGTGGGGGTCATTTGACCCCACATGACCCCATATGGATCCGTCCCTATGAACAGGGCTTGTCCATACACACGTCGGCCCCCATTGGCCAGTTGCCCATGTCGGCATAGCAAAACGCAAATATATTATACAGATTAGTTGCATGGAGGACTGTTCTTAGTCAAGTCATATGACCTGGTAATCATTGGCAGGAAATGATATTCACATAAAGGAGGTCCATTGAACCACGACTCTTCACAAAAAACATAGGGTCATTATCCCTCCAATTTGTTAAGCGACACACGACTCTTGAGTGAGTTATATCAGCTGTTTGTGCTAACAAAGGGTCAATTTAACCTTTTCGATTTTTTTTAGCTTTTAATTTGTATCTTCATCCGTGCTCTTTAAAGAGAATTGAACTTAAAGAATTGGACTTTTTATTAAACTCCAACAATAATATTTATCCTTTATTTTACACGCACGTTTCTTCGTACAACTTATAACATATAATCTAATTATTAAAATAATGCTGTCTTCCAATGAAATATAAAATTAAGTGAGTCATTTAGTTATATTTCTCTATTAATGTCACATTTATGTTACTTAAATTAATGTTTTAACATTAGTGATGTTATATATCATTTTTCTAATTATTATTTATCAATCCTTTTGATCCATGGTTTATAAACACCCGAAGTAAGTCGACACGAAGATTTGCATAAAAAGTTGCAAAATAATTGTATGAAAACATTTAAAAAGTATGTACAACATAGAGGTTGAGTCCGACACTAATTATTGAGAGCTTGAAAAAGAAGATTGGTTCTTTATTATAATAAAGATAATGGAGTTAATAAAGAGCCTATTGAAAATTCTCTTAATGGTTGATAGTAATATTCCTAATGAAAATTTTGTAAAAAGAAATAATGTTATATCAATAAAAATCTTGTAAAAATAAATAATGTTATATACAAAGATATTATTCTAGCCATATTTAAATTAGTATATCGTGTAAATCCTCTCACAATAATCATAATGATGACAATTTATAATGTAGTAGTTTCCTCGTTTTGGGGGGTTGGATCGTAAAAAGCTAACTAAATTAATTTCAAGACGAAAATAAGTAACTTGGAGTGATTTTTAAGTTAAATAGGCATTTTCACAACAATGTAAAATTAGTAAAAAGCTAACTTTTAAAGAAGAGATTGAAATAATTCACGAGATCAACAAGTTTATATTTTCTTCATATTTCTTTCTTGCTTGCTTACTCTGCATTATTTGGCATTAGATCATAAAAGATCTCTCTTCGTCGCTCCAATAGAATAAGCATACATTTATCAAATATAAGTTATATACCCCGTTTCGACCCAAATGTTTATTAATTATACATATCAAATTAAAAATCGTTAATAATGGCTGTTTTCAGAATTAACACAGTTAGAAAATTACAAACTCGAAGTGTCACGTAAAAAAAATCAGGGACTAGAATATAATAAAACAAAATTACTGAGAACAAAAAAAAAATAATAATAATAATAAAATAGTAAGTCAATTTCCAATCCTATTTAAATTAAAGCGTGCAGCACGAGGGGTAGATGCCATTTCCAACTGCAGTTAAAAACAACATGACAAGGAATATAATTCACGACTTACGATGTTTTCAGTGCAATTTTTTACAAATAAATACAAAATTATTATCAGATATGTAACCATTTGTTTTCGAGTAGATAAATGTTAAAGTATTTTTATTTTTATTTTTTAAAATTAATGCCCTTTTCTAAATGCCAAATTACATGTAAGAAAAATATTTATAAATTGTGAACGTAGGAAAAAAAATTGAAATAGGAGTGAGTTGTTATTTTGGGAACTTTGAGAATTTTTTCCTTAGGAATCCTAAAAATCAGCAAAGAATAGTCTATGTAATTTGACACTCGAATGGTGTTCTGCATTCGACTTACATGTAAAGGAGGTTTATGTAATTTGTTCTTAATTTTATAATTTTCACGATTCAATTATTAATCGATACAATTAGTATAGTAGGTTCAATCTATTTAGCTTATAGTGGGATCTTATTGTATTTGGATCATTATACGAAGTTTTGGACTCTATTTTAAAATGTCAACATTGTGAACAGTAATTCAAGTACTTGTATTTTGATTATTATTTTCTCCAAACAAGTGGTGTGAGATTTAAACTTTAATACGCTATTCAAAATAGTGACTCTTTTGAGAACATAATTTTGAAATTCTACTCATTTGAATTCAAACGAATAAAATTTTGTTTGAATTTTTAAAGCTGACACTTTGGCCTCGTTTGAGCCCCATTATTTTCTCGTTAAAATGAAAATATGATCGTTATTCATCAAATCAAGTCACCATATTTAACTTTTTATCTGTTGTGTGGGACCCATAACGATTATATTTTTCATTCTAATTTTCACAATAATGCGGCTCAAACAAGGCTTTATTATTAAAGATTCATTTTAAAATGTTGATTTTAATAAGAAAAGTAGTATGAATCCTAGTATACTAATTATTATTTTAAATTCAAAAAAAAATATTTTAAATTTTGCTTTCAACATATATAAAAACAAACATATATGATTCCTAACAATGGAAACTCCCTCGTGCTCGAGTAGTAAATTATTTGTCCAAAAAAATGACGAATAAAATAAAATAAAAACAAAAACAAAAACAAAAACATTGAAAGCTACTCCTAGTAATAGATGTTGTATTTACTTAAAAAAAAAAAATGAAGTTTTATGTTGGACGTAGCATAAATAATGAAAAACAAGATCGATATTTCCTTTCATCGATCACCGTCCACGTGGATCCTCGCTAGAACCCTTTTAACTTTGGCTCACGACAAATGGGTATAATTGTAAAGAGGCACCATCACAAAAATGAGATTCTATGATTTTGAATATTGGAGAATCTTTCTACGTGGTTTTGACTATTGAAAAAGTATCTTCCCTTTTGGATTCTTTTATTTAGGCATAATTATAATCTATTTTATTATTTCTTGCTTTCAAAAATAAATTATAATATTTAAAATATAATTATACCATCAAACTAGAGCTTTGTCGACTTTGCTAGACATGATATGATACTAGACAAATCTCAAAAAGACTATATTTCTAAATTTTGTAATAATATAGCTATATTTCCAATTTTGGTTTTTGAAACACGTCAAAAATTTGAAATGTTACAATTTCTGATTTAGGGCATCTTCAATCCTTATACTATTTCACCATTTTGCTTCAAAATTTTGGTGAAATCCTTCCCCAACCCAACACTATAATTTGCATCAAAATTGTACGAGTGAATAATATTGCACCATTTTGCACAAAAATAATTAATGTCGTTTTTGCTCCTCCTTTCCATGTTGAGCCAAATTGTTATTAAAGCTATTTGTATCATTTTATTGTTATACACAAATTTTATTTCTTAGTTAATTATTAAATAATACTAATAATTGTACTACATTTTTAAATTTATTAAAGAATTCAATATTTTTGTTAACGAAACATATATATTTATTTAGTAATTTATGTAGTAGTAAATTAAATAAATAAATAATTTTCTAGATAACTTAATCATTAAGAATGAAAAAATGAAGAAAATAATTAAATATTGTTCATTTGATGTAATGAGGTGGATATGATTTTCAATTTGGTGCAATGTTGCAAGATTGACCTCGAATTTTGGTATAGTTTTGGAGATGATCTTATGCTCCCTAGTTTCTACTTATTTAATTAAAAAAATTTCATATTTGATCCCTAACTTTTTAAAAATAGCTGAAATTACCCCAATCTTTAAGATGGCATCAACTGGGAAATTGTTCAACTTTCCATCATAGAATGGAGATTCATTTCTTAATCGTATTTAGTTATCCATAATTGCTAAAAGCACTTGAGAAAAAATGTAATTACCCTTTAGAAAAGGGGAGCGCGGGGGGGGGGGGGGGGGGGGGGGAAAAAAAAAAAAAAAAAAAAAGAAAAAAAAAAACC